TTAATAAGCTTCTCATTCAAAAAAATCTTTTGTGACATGTGCCTTTAGAATAATATCTCGGACATTTACAACTATATCATGAGGCAAAACTGAGTATAAGCAAACATTTGCTTAATTCGTTTTGATTCAAGATCAAACTCTGAGTAATATATAACATTCGTACTCGCACAATTTGCAATAACAGCTAGTCTAAGTGAAAAAAATCACCCCCCCCCCCAAAAAAAAACAAAACAGAGAAAACATTCTGTGGACAGATTGTCAGGGTGATCTGAAATTGTAGAAAACATCAGGGTACTTCGCTTAGTTAAGCGTAAATTGTTGCAGACAGATCGTGGTAGAGTTCACTGAATTTCTGAGAGTGACATGACATTATCTTGGCGGTGAATATGAATTCAGGCCAAGAAGAAACATTTTAGACATTGTCGGCTATGCTAACTTAGGTAGACGTCAAAGAAATTGCCTCTCGCTAGCCCGCAAGACTACTTCAAATACTCGAGACTTCTTAGAAGCGAAAGAAAGGGAATGTATTATGTGAAATGAAGCATCTTTCAAGGCAACACACACACACACACACACATTGTTCTTTTTTTACAGACAGAAAAAGGTACGTGTAGTAACGAAGCGTAGAAAAATATATTATGTCGGGGTCACCAATGTTAATTTCATCTCGTTCTCATAAGGAAATTTCTAAGTACAAATAACATAGAATGGAATCACCACGAATTCATTATTAACTCAATATGTATCATATGAACAATTTCAGTAAAGGAATAAAGAGAGCACTGTCCTTCCTTCTTTAGAGATTAATGTTAAGTATTTTATCGGTTTTGTTCGTTAGAAACAAAGCAAAGAGTATCGAAATGTTATGCAATATCAATGCTCTTGTATGGCAGTGAATACTGGACAACCTTTTCAAATATGAAGATAAAACTGAAGGCAACAGTGATGTTGTTCTACAGAAGTATGGTGATAATAACATGGACGGAGCGCGTAAGCAACGAAGAGAAGAACAGAATCAGAAAAAGATAACTTGAAAGGTCTTGGACATAATGAGGAAGGAGGATTTGGAGAATTTGACACTCACAGGACACATCGAAGGTAGTAGTCAGATAGACAGGACGCGACTTACCTGACGAGCTTGTATGAATAGATGGCTGAATGGAGATAGGAGGCTTGGCAAAGGGACAAACGTTGTTAATGGTTACAAAGGATAGGAGGTTGTGAAGAGCCACGTCCAGTACATAGGAGTAGTTTTTGATTCTGATGGTTTGCGGATGCCTCTTTCCACACATCTTTCAAGGATCACGCCAGAGAAGCAAGAGACCTAAAACCCCATCACGATGACGTATCGCTTGACCAGATTAATCTCTATAAAAGGGTAGACAATTATTGTTACTGACACAGCAATGTTATTGCTTTCTGAACGCTTGAAAATCTAAAAAAAGAAGCCATAAAAATGTTTGTGTGATAGATTTAAATGTAAAATTCCATTGTTTTTATTGTACTAGATTTGTTCAAACTCAAACACATCACAAAACGTTTCTGAATGGAACGCACTATTGTCTGAAATACTGCAAGGATTGACAACTTCAAAGTCACATGTCATTGAAATTTAAAACATCTGAGAATTTCACGTAGAATTGTTTTCTTATATATTTTCTTTCTTCATACTTAGCCATTCACAGTTTTTTAAATTATATTAATAGTAAAAACGGTTCTGTTGAAAATGGTGAGTCAATTAATTATGAAAAAAATGCATGTAGAGCACACACACACACACACACACACACACACACACACACACACACACATATATGATATAAACATGGACAGTGATGTAACCCAGAGTCTATTTCATGCTTAAACACAATCGTCAGGTCACGTGCGTTGTGTTTTCGATCGACTGTTTATATACCCTGGACAATTGTCCATTATGGGTAAGTCTATTGTATTATTCTAACCGTTATTGGGTATGCGGCAACGGTTATATTTTCGAATTACTCTAGGGGTTATTGAGTGGAAATAATTGTCGATCCGGATGCAGTTTTGTGGCTATTTTGTTGTTTGTTAACTTTATTACTGATTGCTTTGTTATTTCTTGTCAATTTTTATTATTACATTTACTTGTGTTTATGTGAGCGTTTGTAGTCTGTTAATTTGTTTATTATTTACTTTATTTACTTATTTATTGATTTGGATTAATTTATTATACTTATTTATTTATTTCTATTTTATTTTTATTTTATTTTATTTATTTTTATTTTCTTGTTGGTTTTTCATTTTAGTGTTGACCCCAATGTCCATTTTTTTATATTTACATATGCTTTATCCGATATCGAGCGCTTTAAAAGTTAACTTTTAAGCATACCTTAAAACTATATATTTTTATGATATCACGAATGAAACGCGTCACAAATAAAGTTTTTCCATTTTGTCTTACAATTTCCTCAATATATATATATATATATATATATATATATATATATATATATATATATATATATATATATATAAACAGGAAATAGTGCTGCTGCAAATACTACTGCTGTATCATCTCTTCCATCTTGCTAATATTTCCTTTTATCTAATGTAAAGATGGCGTAGCACATTTATTGCCTAAACGTCTTTACCGCAACATTGCACACAGACAACTTTTCATGCTTATGTAAAATTGAAGTGCTTGTTATCGTGATGTAGGTAAGGTAGATTTTACAAATAGTATAAATGGATAGATATTATTTACCAGGAGAGTGCCTTTTCAAATGATTGTAGTCTTCTTATTGGTTACTGTCAAGGTTGAATATAGGAGTAACAGCTTATTAATGCTTCTGCTTGGTCAAATAAAGTAATTATGGGATATTGGTTTTTTCAACTAGTCACTCATCCACTCTTTTTTTCATCAGCTGTTGTGGCATATCGGTGAAAATTAAAAAAATATTATTATGGTATCAGAGCTCAGGGAGAAATGGGTTTATGCATTTCGTGAGGACGTTAGCGTGAAATAAACATGAACAGTCTCAACTAAAAGCTTCAAAATTTGAATATATATATCTATATCTATCTATATATCTATATGTGTGTGCGTGTTTGCGTGCGTGCGTGCTTGTGTGTGTGTGTGTGCGTGTGTGTTTAAAGAAACATTTTTGAATTGTACGAATTACTATCCAACAGTTCGCGAAAACTAACTCTGAAAAAACAAAAAAACAAACTATTCTTTAAATTAGTCCTCTAGGACATATATACAGCGATTTCACGAAATGTCTGCTCATAAAGAGTAGCGGCAAAAATCCGGACTACAATCAGTTTGCTCGTACTATTCACATTTCTCTATATTTTTGGTAGCATCTCATACGTGACAAAAGGTTTTCAACTCTCTGGTATGCGTCATATACGTGTATATGCAGTCATTGTTATGAAGCAATAAACGGTCATATTATGAGTTGTATCTGAGAACATTTTCGTGGAAAATGTCATACAATACTTGACGAATTTATACTAAGAACATTGGAAGATACTTAGCCAAGAAGTCCAATTCAAATTCCAAAAATAAGAAATATTTAACATTTAATGTCGCATTGATGGTTTCGAAGCACACACACACGTATATATATATATATATATATATATGCTAAAAATATAGTTTGAAGGCCGGCTATATTTATGGGTAAAAGTGCTCAATATCAGGGACAGAGCGTATGCAAATATAAAAGTGGACACTGTTTCTTGCTTAAAAACAATCTCCAGGCCTTGAAGATTGTGTTCAAGCATGAAACAGACTGTCGCTACTTGGTGTTGACTTCATTATATATATATATATATATATATATATATATATATATATATATACTCATTATAGTCGAAGCATGGCAATAAAGCCACTAAGATGTAAGGGTTTTACTATGTGTGAAAGAATATGAGAAAAAGAAAATCATTATTAATGGGAGAGAACAATAAAAGAACAGAAATTTACCGCTTTTATTTTCTGATAGTCATGTATGCATGTCCGTATTTACAAAAACCATCATGTTTATACACAAACAAAAAAATTCAAAATTCTTTTTAAAATACTTGGGGTCGCTTAATCGTAGAAATCTTTTCCATTTATGATTAATAAATATAGTATTTACTTAATAACAATACTTAATATTAATACAGGATTTTAAAAGATTTAAAATTTTATAAATTATTCGAATTAAAAAAAATGAAAACTGTGTTTTTGTAAAAATTCATTATTCACCAATTTTTTTAAGCCAATAGTCTCCATAATATATCTTATTCCTAAAAACAATTAAAACTTTTCGAATTAAATAATGTCTTAGTTTTCTTATTTTACGATTTAGAGCAGGTTTTGGTATTAGAAAAAAATTGATGATTTAAATTCTTTAAAAACTTCTGCTAGTTTAATAATAAAAAATTCTTTGGTATTTCCTCTTAATAATAACACAATTATAGGAGAAGAAGATAAAACTTCGAAAGAAGAAAGAAATTGATCAAATAGATAAACGGCAGGACGCTGGAGAGTGTAAAGAAGGGTAACTAATCACCCAGAATAGGACTTGTTTTCTTAATAACTCTTATGATAACTGTAGATTGATGGAAACTTGGTCGGAACATGATTGTTTTTGGACCTTGAGTAAAATAAATAAATAAAATATTCAAGTGGGCGAGGGAAATGACGAAGGAGAAAAAAAAAGGTAGAAACTTCTTTAGAGCAAACATAAACTTGTAAATTAGTTTGATAAATGAAAAAAAAAGAATTAAGAATTAATTAAAAAAATGACTTAAAAGAAAAGAAATTAATTAAAATTATATAAATTTGATTGTACACTGAAGGCAAGGAGAAGAAAAAAAGAACTTTGATCCAATTACAGACACATGATCGGTATTGGTTATTGTCTTATTAACGTGTATCGATCGACATTGCTGTTTGTCAATCTTCTTTTTTCAGCCTTTGTTTATATATTTCTTTCATTTTCAATCTTTACTACCTCTTTTCCTGGCTTGCGGCCATATCGCGTTGAAACACCGGCTCACGTACGATTAGTGAAGTTAAGCAACCTCGAACCTGGTCAGTACCTAGATGGGTAACCGCTTGGGAATTCCAAGTGCTGTAAACTTGGATGTGCGGGCGGATAACATTAAAATATTTCCTTGCTTTAAATATCCTGCAAAAGGTTGATAAACCGTAAAAAACAAATCAATCGATTCATTTTTCCTTACATGAGCACATATGATAAAAATATAACATTTTTGCGCATATTTTATTTTACTTTTTGTTTCGAAAATTTCAATGAGATTACATTTGAACTTTGAATGTTCTAAACAGACAGACACAAAATTCATTGCTTTTATCATATTCATAAATCGAATATTATACATATAAATAGCTCTCTTCCAATAGCGCCTGAATTAGTTCCTGACCATTGACAATCCCTTTTCTCCTATTTAAAATCAGTGAATAGAAATAAGATAAACGAAATCTTCGTTACGTTTACGGAGTTTTAAATGCATTTAAAATTAAAATACACACTGTGACTTAATTACAAGAGTGAATGAAAGTTCTAATATATTTAAAAAAAATGAACTCCTCGTGATTGTACGGAGTGTACAAATAATTGGTTACATAGTCATTAAATGGAGCCCAATTCTGTTTAGACATCCCCATAATCTCACACACACAAATCACGCCAACGCACATTAAATGTATTAGTGTATGTACACACATACACAGATATATATATATATATATATATATATATATATATATATAGAGAGAGAGAGAGAGAGAGAGAGAGGGAGAGAATAATCTCCCACACATACACTGGGTTGGGTGTGCCTTCTATGTGTTGGTGTCCACATGAATTTGAGAAGGCAAAGGACAGAGTGACACATTGTGACACATATCCTGTGGTTTCCTATAACGGTAAGACGAAACAATAATCATTCTGTCACGCTTACTCTCTTTTTCACACACACACGCACACACACACACAGACGCGCGCGCATACACACATACACTCTCACACTCCACTCATCTCTATTGAACAGTTCCAATCTCTTACTTGTCTCTGTGTTCATTCCTTATTGAGATGGATGTACGTGACACATCATCGATGTCCCGGTAATGTACACAAATGTGAACTCATTTTTGCTGGTTCATTCTCTGACACGGAGGAAACCAAAATATAAGAATAATGTGGCACCTTGCATTATTAGAAATATTCATAGAAATATGATTTAATTTTTTCTTACTCGGTTACTAAACAGGTTGTTAATTTTTTTTTTAAACGGAAAATAACTGAGTTGAAAATAATTCACTAAGAGTGTACTAGACGATCCTAAGGAAAGAAGAAGGAAAGAAAGGAAAAAGGAAGGAAGGGAAGAAAAAGAAAGAAAGAGAAATGCATGACGCATGACCCAATTGAGGGTGGAGATAGGAGTCAGAAAGAGATTTAGGTCAGCGTCTTGGCCGATTTTCGAAAGTCATTTTGGTAAGAATGTCGGTCAGAGCACCTAGCCTACTTTTGCATGGAAAGACACCTTATCAATTTGGATAAAGAGAAATTTTGGGAACAATGAAACAATTTTTAATCAGAGAAAAAGTGTCTTTGGGTTGGGGGGAGTGACCGGTGGAACGATATACAGACCTGTTAAGAATTGGACACCCACGTTAATAAAGTAGAGACATTTCAATGTAGATAATTAAGATTTTCGACTATCAGGTAAAACAAAGAGGTAAAAAAGAGGGACAATTGCTTTTGACTCACAGAGGGCGCCAAGAAGGCGGAAAAGATCCTTTCTAAAGTCAAGACTAATTAGCAGCGGGCTGTTTAACAAAGTCCAGGTGAGAGAAAGCCAAAGATTGTCATTTTGCGTACGTGCAAAAAGGGGCAAAATTGGATTTTGTTTTTTTTTAAACAAGAACGATGTAACCACGCCCGCAAACAGAGGGGAAAGAAATGTTCGACCAATAACAATTGGTCGAATACGATCACGTGACCTGCGGAAGAAAAGGGAAAGAAATGCTCGATCAGGAACGATTGGTTGAAAAGCGGTCACCTGGCATACGAGAGACTAAGAGAGATGGATGTGCGCCGCCCCACCGAAGGTACTGCGAGGAAGTAGGGGCGAAAACAATAGCGATAATGGAGAAGACAGAATTAATGCAGTTTTTGGAATTATCGAGAAAACCCTGACGCCGACAGACCCACCCCAGTTTGTTGCGGCGTCAATAAAAGCAGGGCCCCAATCGACAAAAATCAGTTCATCCCCGGACGGCAGCGAGAAAAGAACCCTCAGACAAGAAGAACTTCCAGCCCAAGTAGAAGAAGAAGAAGAAATACAACTCAAGTCGGAGAGAAGAATCAACTGCGAATGATCGATAGAAATTAGCCCCAGTGTCGAACTGAACCACACTCCGACATACATACATGATTCTAGAAAGTAGGTAATTCGACATTTTCCTATTGTGTGATAGAAGCTTGGTGCCATAGTCCACAGAGCGGGTCGGGAATTGAGAACAATTTTGTTTTTATGTAACGGACTTTAAGATATAAAAGGTTGTTACCCTTTTATCAACAATTTTGTTTGGTGTCGTGAGTTTTTATTTTATTTGTGTTTTGCCACCCCGTCGGACTCAACTTGTATCGGCCCCGATCCCTGCTGGTCCCGTCTGTCTAAGATCTAAACACAGCGTGGGTAGACAGACCGGAGATCGGTATAGTTGCTTTAGTGACCAGGTATTGGAAGCGAGTCGGGAAAGGCGAGGCTGGTGATCATCTGACCAAAGGGTTGGAGCGGCACGCTTGGACCCAGGAGGAGCGACCAGGAGGAGCGACGTCACCGTTGGCGCCGTAACCAAAGGATCCGACACTGGGCCAGGTGTGTAACCGTCACAATAATGCTACTGTGGATTATCTTTAAAACATTGGAAATTTACAACTCAACCACTTTTAACAAAAACAGGGTCGAGTTAATGATCAAGCTCGACTGAGAAGCTTGAAGCCTATACGAAACTTGTCAGAAAATGGCGACTGAAAGAATTTATCACCAAGGCAAGATTACACATTGATGAAAGAGGATATGTAGAAGAGAGCAAGGCTGAAACGCTTAGTATTTGGTCAAGAATCTGACCACATCCACAAATCTATCATCCAGCATATCTGTGATAAAACAAAACATGGAGGAAAGTACGAAACTACTGATGGCATCTATAATTATGAGTAAAAGTAAGGAACAAAATGTTAATGCCGTTAGAAGCAGAAGCAACTGATCGTTACATTTCAAAATTACAGAATAGATTTCAGTATTTGACAGAAATGACAGGCACAACAAACAATAAAGTTGCCAGAGATTTCAGGGCAACCGGAGGTTCACAAAGTATTTCTAACTGCGCCCTACCTGCTAATTGAATTCTGTCACCATATCTGGCACATTTGGTTGTCATGATCTGGATGTCATGATCGGTGTATTGAGCTTCGTATATTTATATCACAACGTCAGTTTGTTGGCATGCTGCATTCATTCAATAATAATAATAATATTAATAATAATAATAATACACAAAACATGAATCCCTTCAATATTTGGGTTTTGTTGTGAACACTTTGAGAATGTTACTCATCTAATCAGTGGTTGCAAAATGCGAGCTCAAAAAGAATATAAGAGGCGCCATGATAAGGTATGCCTTTATGGACATTGGTTATTGTGTTGAAAGGATGGATATCAAGTTACAGAAATTTGGTACGAGCATGTGCCTTGCAGAACAATTGCAGAAGTTGGAAAACCCATAATATTTTGGGACTAGGATTTTTCCTACAGAGTAATATATCATCACCGCCCGGATATTATTATGCTACACAAAGCCACCAAAAAACTGTTATATTAATGAAGTTGCCATACGAAATAAGCAAACAAGTTGATTGAGAGAATTACAAACACCTTGGATTTGAAAGTTGACAAGGCAAGATTGGAATACAGGAAGGTAATGTCAGTGGGATTCCAGAAGAAAACTGCGTGACTTTCTTTACCAACTGGGAATACCATACCAACTTGGAATCATCCAAAACTCGCTTCTTTTGGGTCCTTCGCATAATTTCAGGAAAGTATTGTCTGTCTGAGATCCTTGGAGCGATAACTTACTCGATCTATTAAAAAACTTGCACTATGTGATAAAACACAATAATGATAATAATTAGTCTAATCTAAGGGAAACACTGAAATAAAATTAATCTTACATTTTATTTCTTCATTTATTTACAATATGTCTTTTCTGTTATGTATACTTCCTAGACAATATGTTCTTCTTTATATATATTCTTCCTACACAATATGTATTCAATAGAATCCATATAACAAACATGTACGTGTTTTAAAAATCATTTCACCCCAAGCAGGGCGATAAAGCCACTAAGACGAAAGAGGTTACTAATAGTGAAAGAAAATGAGAAAACCTTAAGGAGGAGAAAGGACAATAAAAGAACGCGATTAAAAAAGACAGAAGATGGCGATTGACATTGCAGTTAAATTTTTGGAGATCGTAGTTTACAGGAAAACCAGAAGCCGGAAGAGAGTTCTACAGACGAGAAATGCGAGAGAATAAATTATTAAAGTAGATCTTACGGTTACATTTAATAATTTCAAGAGTAAAATGGTGAGAACAAATTGCCAATTTAGTAGTGAGTTTAAATTCATGAAGTCGAGAAACTAAAGAGGAAAGCTCATCTGAACAATTTCCATGAAAATATTTAAAGAAACAGAGTAAGGAAGTCATGTTATGGCGGTGGGAAATTGATTGAAGCCAAGATGCCAGGTCGGGACTGATAACATTGCAGATTCTTTTTTTGAAATTGTCAAGAATTTCGAGATATATACGGACACCAGACCAGATGTGACAGCAAAATATTCAAAAGCAATAAATAAACTAATAAACGTACAAAGATGGATTTTGTCGAGAAGTATTGTTTAGCACGACCCAGTAAACCAACTAGTTGCAGACATAGAAATTGATTTAATATAATCATTCCATTTCATGTAAGTGGTAAACGTGAAACGGAGTTGCTCTCCTGCAGGTTGGTATCATGCATATACTGACGGAATGGCCAAAATCTATACT